TCCCCACCTAACATTTTCATCCCCATCCCCATCCCCATCCCCGCGGCGGGTCTAATATTCATCCCCATCCCCGCCCCGGCGGGTACAACTCCAAAACCATCCCCGCCCCACCCCCCCACTTGGATTTCCATCCCCGCCTAATCCCCACCAAATACCCGCCTAATCCCCACTCAAGACCCACCAAATTTCCGTGTCTCAAATACACAATCCTACATAATTAATACGGATTATAATATTAAAAAAAAATTCTTAATATTACATACATTTTTGTTTATAATATAAGTGTAGTACAAATATTATAATTAATATTTACTTCACGTAATTATTTTATAAAATAATATAAAAGTATATAGATGTGGGTATGAGGTGGAGATGGGGCGGGTACGAAGTGGGGCGGGTGGGGCGGGGCGGGGATGGGGCGGGTACAACTTAAAATCCACCCCCGCCCCATCACCCATGGCGGGTATCGTTTTCATCCCCATCCCCGCCCCACCACCCGCCAAACCGAGACCCATCCCCGCCCCACTGGGGCGGGGATGGGGCGGGTCTCCTACTTGACCCGCCCCACTGACATCCCTAATGTCCAGAGCTGTTCCGTGTTCCCCTTTCTCCCGAGTTCATGCACACTCGATGTCTTTGCAAAAAAAACACAGCCCACAAGCTTGACAGATTGGTATTTTATGTTTCTTCCGGCCATTATGTCGATAAATTAAAATTTAAAACTGCATAAATAAGTCTTAAATCGACAATCTAAAACGTATTATGAGAGGTTCAATAGCAAATGTAAGTAGTAGCTATCTTCAATATAGATGAAATTATTAACTTTAGTCAAACAACATAATCTAGTGCATCACATGAGTTGAGTTCAGTTGATGTAGTACATGTAGAAATTTAAAACAAACCATAACAAGCAGAATTTTGATGGTATCAACCACACACAATGAATAGCGAAATGAAAGAAGATATGCTCGCATTGTAAGTCAAGGATAAGCTACAATGACAGATTGAACGGCTTCAATAGGGTTGACATCGAAATGGCCAAAACCCGCCTTATTAAGCAAGCAACTCCATTCTTTGAAGGTCCTCTCTTTGCCATTAGTTGTGTGAGCCAACATCACCATATCTAGCATTAATCTTGCATCTTCAAACTTATCTTTTGCATCTTCTTCAATAACAGACTCTACAATGATTACCTTCCCTTTATCCTTTGCTATGGCTTCCTTGCAGTTTTTCAAAATTTGGATGCACTCGTCATCCCCCCAATCATGCAACACCCACTATATTACATAATCAATAAAATCACATGATTAATACACATTATTAGTTAAAGATTATTTGTTTTGAGTGGGTTGGTTAGTGAATGTAAAACAAAGTATGGTGTTCAACCAATAGAGTTGTAAATGTAAAAGGGTGTCCCTTGTGAGCTTATATTTTTGTCTTTGTCGATTCATAATAATTTAACTTATTTTAGACAAAACGAGTTCAGATAATTTTATAAGACATAATAAGTATTTTTCAAACAATTCCATATAAAATTACACATGAATGTGCAAAATAAAGAATTTACCATGATGAATGCAACATCGGCTTTTGGAATACTCTCAAACATGTTTCCACCTACATGTTGCACCCGCTCACAAGGGAGTCCTTCAGATGCAACATGAGGAAGATCAAAGTTAATGCCTTGAATCCAAGGAAAACCCTCAACAAGCATAGACGAGGCGGTTCCATCTCCTCCCCCAACATCAACAACGGTAGAAACACCGTCGAACAAATTAGGCCACTCCTTGATAATTCGAGGCACTACAACCCTAGCATCACAAGCCATAGCATCATTGATAAGCTTACTATGAGCAATATTATTACTTGCATAACTCCACACATCTTCTCCATTGGCTGCATCAAATGCCGACACACCTTTCTCTTGAACGCGATTGTTTAGACAAAGCCAAGGGGCTAGCATAACCGGGCTGCACTCTAGTTGTATAAAGGCAGCCATGCTATTTTTCCCTTGACTTAACAAACGTCTAGAAAGGGGTGTTTCGGCGAAAATTAACGTGCTTTGGCTTGTTTGGCTTAGCTTAAAAATTTTCCGGTGAGCTAAGAACCTCATGACGCGGTACAAGGAGGATGGTGGACATTTAAGGGAAGAGGCTAGCTCGGTGAGTGACATAGAGCCACCATTTTTATGTAACGCGTCGGCTATACCGAGATCGATAGCACATTTTACAATTGCCATCTCAGTGAAACCAAACACATATCTCCAAATATCTACACTTGCTTGTGCCTCTTCCTCATCTTCTTTTTCATTATTATGCTCACCATTATTAGTTATTACATCTCTCAGTATTATTTGTTCCATTTTTTTTTTGTTTATGTTTGTATTTTATTTCTATTCGTATCTAATACCAAGCATATATATATATAGGTGAAGGCTTTATATAATGCCGCCTATGCCAGGCATATGTTGGCCTTCTTCTTTTCCACGTTTTTTGTCAGTAGTCGATCATCTATCAAGTGAGAAAGTTAATTTATAATTGTTACGATTAATTGTATTATATATGACCGATTGACCAATTTCAGGAGATCAATTATCAAACATTTAATACTCAAATATAATACCATATGGGGTCTCGGCAATAATAACAACTTATTACCGGTATTCTCCGGCGAAAGTGGTTGACAAATAATTAATGAATAGATCGAGATCGTCGAGAGTGTGAGGCTAGTGAATTGCGACGGCAGTATGTATCAGATCGAGAAACAAGGCTACCGTGTTGCACAGCGACAAACACTTTTAGCTATTAATAACCAGCTAGGTCCGCATTAATACCAAGGTCCCTATATTTATTAATTGGTCATAGTGCCTCCTGGTGAACGACACTATGACCGATTGATCAACTCATTAGTGGCCTAGTGGAGTAGTGGGAGGGGAAGGGAGGGTTCATATTCATTAAACCTATCGATTTTGAACTGACTGAACTGAAATTAAGCTGAAAAAAACAGACCCGCAATTTCTGTTCACTTCACCTTAAACTTAAAATGCTAGTTATTATAATAGGTTAAAACATTAGCAAAACTATTTACAAAGTACAAGCTGTGAGTAAAATATGAAAAATTAATTATGTTTAGCCATTCACCTAAACCACTCAAAATTTTAATTAACTAATTATTGGTAATTAATTTTTATTCTTAAATAACAAGAATTCCTATCTGACGTTGTTTCCTTTTTGATATAAACACTTATTTTAAGGAGGAAGGGGAGACAAGATGATTAGAGCATGATACACGACCTTCTTTTTAATTACTTTAGCTCAATCAATGATTTTGATTGTACCTAATATATTACGTGTTTTTTGTTTGCTTTTAATTTTCTGCCGTTTGTTAACATTATAGTGATGATCACAATTCACAATCAACACATAATACAGTATATTGGAAAACAAAGTCAAGTTAGCAATATTAATTGTGCTATTTGGCCTTTGTTGATTGGATTATTGTCTTTATTGGTAGCAGGTTTAGTAGCACATTAATTTCCCCTCCTTTATCTAAAGTTTTCTAATTAGGCCAGCTATAAAGGGGATTCTTAAGAGGATCTTCTACATTTTTGTAGATATATTGTGATTTATTTTATTTGATTTAGAAGGATCCGATGTAACTTGTAGTCCCAATTCTCAAAGGTTCCAACCCTAATATCGAGGATCGAGTACATTTTACATACTCTTACAACTATTTGGCTAACCCCTAATGGTTCCGAGAGGTTAAAAATTGCGATCTTGGTTTGAGAAGGTAGCTTCGACAATAATTTAGATAGGTGTGGCGATATCTCATATGAAGGTCTTTTAGAATTTTGTGGCAGCTAGGACTATGACGTACCAATTTCAGTACCTCTGAAGGAAATAATCAATCAACTCCGCTCCATACAAGGAAGCAAAAGGTTTAGACCTAATATTACTTGGCTCAATTAGCGAATAATTCTGTTTGCTATGTACATACATAGAATTTGAAATTAGAATAGTTTAACCAGCAAAATCAGTGTACCTCATGCAACTAGCATTTACAAGGTCTCAGCAAAAAAATTGTCTCCAATGTACCACTGCTTTGCTATTCTTCAGCATCTTGCCTTTTCAGATCACCTGGTGTTCAATAGCTGACATGAGCTATTTTCAGAACAGAATTCGCCATCAGATCTCTTAGATAAACTGCAGTACCTCAAACGGGAACTGATATCCCTGTACATGATATGAGTAACACCAAATGTTCTTTACGGTAAAACTGTATGTCATGATATTATATAGCCTCACAGTTACGCTTGAAGATCCCAACTGACATGAGCATCATGTTTTCCAAGGTCTAATTTATAATCTAGTAGTTTACTTCAAACTCCAGATTGCTTGTTTAAAATGGAAGATTTGAGTTTCTCCACTATTGTCAAGAGCTGTGAGTTTCCTTCACATGATTCTTTCAGCAGCTCCAACCTCGAATCAATGCAGTCCATCTGTACAACAGTAGAAGCATCCTGCTCGGACTTCTGAATGGCACACAAGTGTTCATACTGGACCAAATCCAACATCATGGCCTGAAATAGATTATTGTAGGTCAGCAAAATGAGAAAACCCTAACTTGATTATCTAGTTGGATAAGAGATTAAATAACAGGATGGGAGGATGTTTACAGTTAACATGGAATCATAATAATGATATGATCCCGAAACTTTTTTAATTTTTTAATTTATATATTATTATTCATAATACAGTAAAATAGGATTTATACTGAAGTGCGGGTATATATGGCAGAAGGCAGATTATGCTTTCAATGAAAGCACAGAATCTAATTCTTGGGGTCAAATAAAGACAAAAATATAAGGGGAGGGGATAATCTAATTAACAGGACACCTTATTTGAATGCTGATGAAATCTTTGAAAATCTATGCAGTCTTCTGAGAAAGTTAGTTCTGCAGACATCTTTGAAATCCATAACATTTTTATTTGGTTCTATAAAAACTAGAAAAGTTGCAAAGTCACGAGCAATCATCTTTTAGGTTGCAGCAGTGTATCTTAATTAACCAATGAAAGAGCATATTTTCATGAATCATGCCATCTATGGTCTCATTATAATGACGAATCATGCCATCTATGGTCTCATTATAATGACAGAACTAAACAGCAAAAGAGTACCTCATGTTGCTGTTTGCGTGAAAAATCCCTCAATAGTGATTTCACAAGTTTATTTCGTAGCGACAGTTTCTCTCCACGAGATTTGTTGAAAATGAATGATGATAGATGATGTACAGCAATAGCATATGTCATTGAGCCCCGAGCTGCAGCTCTATCAAGGGAACCAGAAGTCCAGGATTTTACATAGGCTTCCAATATACCTTCATCATCCTGGGCAAAATTAAAGGGGATGAACATCTCATCTTACAGTATGCTTGCTTAAAACTATAAGAAATTATTGTAATAAACATATCTCGCATACAACAACAATTACATGCAGGAGTGCTGGCGAGTGGCTTCATATGAACAGTTGGACACACTCCTAAGCTACCCTCAAATCTACCAAATAATCCAAGGAAAGTATTCAAAGTTCCAGTTGCATATTATACTGAATATTCTTTTAAATTAACACCTTTAAACACCCATGCCCTCCAGCCCTACTGCAGATCAAGAGCATGCTTGAAAATCTAGACAATTTCTTAAGTGCCACACAGAACCTGGAGTGCCTTTCTATTATGAGGCAAGAAGTAATTTCAGTGATTTAACTTTTAGTTTGTAAAATAAATACGAGTAAAAAAAAAAATAAAAAAAAAAAAGTCGAAAGAATTAAAAAATACCTCAGAAGGTTCCAAATATCCTTCTCTTTGAGTTACACAGTTAATCAAAGGTGGTAGGAGTTCAAGAACATGGGCATTAGATAGAGCATTCCAAGTGGCAAGTCTAATTGAAGCATCAATCTGTCTGTGAAGATATATTGCAATTTGTCGTCCGTAAATCACATCACCATATGAAATTGCAGCAAATTGCTCCACAAGAGTTTCAATGAACGTGGAATAGTTCTCATGAATCTCAGACTGAAACCTCAGACAATTAACCGAAAACAAGTCAGCATCCGAAGAAGTTCCGGTCTTAAGGGCAATAGATTTGGTGCTACTGAGCCACAACTCATCTAGAAGTTGACCATAGAGGCTTTGTAACACTCCATACATAAACCTGCTCCTTTCATCTTCAAGTACATCCATTCCTACAAGTAACGGTACAGATAATCCATGTAGTTTCCAGATAAAAGGTATGCTCCGAACAGGAGAGTTGTCTTCATCTGAAAGCCTGGAGGCCATTGCTTCAATACCCAGAAGGAAGAAAATCCCAGCTCTTGCAACTTCGTGAAACTTCACAGAATCAGTTCCACCAGAAGTATTTAGAGACTTGCTAGATTTGATCTCACCAATTGTAACTATAGGACTTAGCAACCAATGACTGGGAAGAGGCAGCCGTTGCCGAGCCCACTCAACCATTATAGAGTAGCCATTTCCCCCAGAAATTATTGACGCTTCCATATCTTCGGGAATGGTGTCTAGAGAAAGGCCACTCAGTTTGACAGTTTTAGTTCCACGATTGTTGCCTTCCTTTGTTACAGATTTCTTCTTTTTCTTTCCCGACAACCATCTATGTCTGAAGTGAGAAGCCAGAATCTTGCCAAATTGAATGAAGTCACTTTCTTTATAGTCCAACTTTAATGGTTCTACTCCTTTATAAGAGTGAAGAAAGTGGAATATACATTGATCAAGATATTTGAGAACAGAGGTTCCCATCAAGATATCCAATACATTCTGTATAATCATTTCATCCCCTGGTCCTGCCACTAAACTCGTTGCCAAGGCAGAATTGACACTCTGCAGCATAAAATTATGCTCATCTACCACAAGTAGATCTCTGGAAGAAGAATGAAATGTTCCAAGCAACTCAATAAGCAATCTTGAATCTGCTTGAACCAAGGCAATAGTAGAGGACCAAAAGCCACCACCAAAAGTACCCCATCCCACCCCAACCCCAGGAGCGGGACCTCCCCTGCCAAATGCCTCAATGTGGCGAATGGTGTGCCATTCTGAAGTGACTAACTTAACAAATTCACTAATCACTTTTCTCCAATCACTCAGGGAACATTTAAAAATGCCATCCTGAAGCAACTTGTTGCCTCTAATCTGCTCATATCTGTGAAAATATAATGGTCCAACATTGTCTCCAGTAATCTGAATTAAGTGATCAGTGGAAACTATTACCCGGAGTAATCCATGAAGGCAGCACACAGAAGCTATTGACATCTCATAATCTGACTGATGTCTAAATTCACACAACTTCACAACAAAAGAACCTAGTGCCCATTGATCTCCAGAACATTCATTATTGCTTTCATCAGAAAAGTTCAGAATACCTTTTTTAATGATTTGAAGCAAAAGTTTAGCTACAAATTCTGGCAACCGCCAGTTGCCTTTGGGCTTGAGCA